GTATGTATATATATATATATATATATATATATATATATATATGTATGTATGTGTGTGTGTGTGTGTGTGTGTGTGTGTGTGTGTATCTGCACTGATTATACCCAGAACTGTATTTGTCATGTACCCAGAATGTATGTCATCCAGTTGCTCACTTCCTGAACTGTTGCTCCAACAAAAGCTGCTGAGTTTTTCAAAAGATGCAAATGATTTAAGCTGTTCATGTGTTCGTATTCCAAAATCATCCAACTCCATGTCTCATGACTTTTCAATGAGTACATTGAACACAAACTGGTTTGGAACAGGTTTGTTGGCAGACCTTTGAGAAAATGGATCAGAATCAAGAGGTTTGGACACGTCCTGTGGGATGTTCTGACCAGTGGACGCCCATCAGAGCGCAGGTGACCCAACAACAGCAGAGATTAGAAGAGTAGGGGGTGGGTTGTGTGTGGTAAGGGAGGAAAGGGGGGGGACGCACCTGGTTTGACAGTCTTCAAGCGAACCGGCTCCCGAAAATGTCTGATGACAGCCAGGGTGTCGCGGTTTGTAAGTCCACTGACGGGCGTGCCGTTGACCTCCAGCAAGACGTCTCCATAGTAGGGCAACTTCCCGACGTGACACACCAGCACGTCCAGCTTCATCTGGCCGATGTAGGGGAACTGGCCCACCTCCGCTCCCCCCAGGATCTCCACCACCGAGCCAAAGTCCCCCAGGTTCCCCCAGGACACGGCGCACTCCACCACCTTATGGGACCAGTGTTTCTTCTTCTTCAGTGTCCTGGACATGGTCGCTCTGTCAGAGAGTCAAGTCTTATTTAAAATATTTTTATTTTATATATATATATATATATATATATATATTATTTTTTTTTTTTTTTATTTTTTTTTTGTTCTTAGAACGTTAAATAAACTGGAGGCGACCCCAGGAGCTCCCTGCTGGGAATCTCATCCTCTTCACATTTACTGGGGCAGATTTTCACCTGATGCTGAGGTCTGTTCGTACCTGGAGCTTCCTTCCTGGCTGTGCGCGCGTTATTAATGATAATAATAATCCCGAGCGCTTCTTCTTGTGCGTAGAGCGCAGTTGAGTTGACGGCGGTTGGAAAACGAGACAATCAAGTCTCTCCCATCGCTGCCTCCCTCCAGAGCCGGCCGAGTCCACGCAGTATGATCAAAACACGGGCGGAACGTCTGCCTCCGTGCGCAGCGGCGCTTGGAGCGTCTGAAACGCGGCGCGTCCGGGAGAATCCCTCATACCTGCGCGCATGCAGGCGGCTGGAAACGTGACGTCCACCGGTCCACTGGTCACGCAGCTGAGATCCACCCAGTTGTGGCTGAGCGGAGAAACATCTGGCAGCGTTCGTGCGTGTGCCACAGGTCTGAGCGCACCTGGCGCCGCAGACATAGATGTAGTCCAGCTTCGAACCGCCCCCTCTGTACGCGGCGGCACGAGACTTCTAGATTCTCCTGCTGGCTCCATCACCCGGCGTGAGGTGGTATCATCACGCAACGCTCACTCATTTGTTGTCGAGCACCCCGTCAAAAAAAAAAAAAAAAAAATATCTGGAAAGTATTTAAATTTCATGAATATTCACCCGGTTGGACTTTGTGTGATCATGAAAAACGTGCCCAAATATCAGATTGTCTAAAAACATTAGGGTTAATCCTGATATTAGACGTGCAAAACAAATCACACCCATTTAGAAAAACTGGGGAGACGTAAATCCTGGAGGTTATAAGTGTCGACACAGCGCCCCCTACTGGTTAGATTACAGAACTGACAAGAGTTCAAATCTGAACCGTTCATGCATCATCTGTTATAAAGTCTATTAAAGTCTGTAGTACGTTGTTTAAATAACTAACAAGAGATTTATATAAAAACATTTATGTGCATTTAATCAAGAGCACCACTAAAGGGAGGACAAAGGGGACAATAGCCCTTTGTAAATTTGATGGATTTTGATCGTCCATCATCTTTACCCACTTTTCAGGTCGCGGGGGTCACTGGTGCCCATATCCAGCAGTCACTGCGAGAGAGGTGGGGGACACCATGGACAGGTCTCCACTCCATCACAGGGACGCATAGAGACAAACGAGACAAACAACCATTTACACTCTCACTCACACCTAGGGACAATTTAGAGTTACCAGTCAGCCTAACATGCATGTTTTTAGTGGAAGCCAGAGTACCCAGAGAAAACCCACGCATGCACGGAGAGAACATGCAAACTCCACCCAGAAAGGCCCCCAACTGGGCTCTGAACCATGCGACCTTCTAGCTGAGCGGCGGCAGCTCTATCAACTGCGCGACCGTGCTGAGTGATCAATCTTTCAGAAAATAATCATCAGATGCAACATCTGCAACCAACTAACTTCTGGAGTCAGTGGGATTCAAAATGGCTTCCACAGCTATTTAAACTTAGCAAACACAAAAAGGCTACAACTTAATACATTTTACAGGTGAGCTCAAATTTGATGTGGTAACTGCTGTGGGAAGTATGGGCACAGAGAGTGCTGCAGCACCGTGATGAGGACATGCATATAAAAATACTTAGTTAAATAGTTAATGACAAAATAAATGAATAACAGATCTTGTTTATAATGCATGTGTTTAAATTTGGTTACATTTTAATTTGCTTTAATTCGCTTGTGTTTAAATCTCATTAATTTATTACTGAGTTTTGTAAATCGCTTAGATGCCAACACAGTTATTGAATATTGGTTAGCAAAATTTTACAATCATAAAACCAAAAATGGGCAGAATAACATTAGGATATGATTTTAACTTGTTTGTCCAAAACATACAGCATGTTTTAATGTTCATATTTAAGAAGTGTGTGTTTTGGTTTTCTTCATGTGGGTGTTTAGCTTCCCGATGATTCACACGTTCAGAGAACCCCCTAAATGAAACACATTCCCACATGTGAAAGCTTTTTGTGTAAAGCTTTGCAAAGCGTCAGGTGAGGAAAGGCTGGTTTCACTTGTGAATTTGAACCAAAGACAAGAGATGGTCAGCACGGTGGTGAAGCTGGTAGAGCTGCCGCCTCTCCACGAGAAGGTTGTCAGATTGAATCCCAGCCAGGGGACCACTCTAGTTGGAGTTTGCATGTTCTCTTCATGTATGCTTGTGTTTTCTCCAGGTACTCTGGTTTCCAAAAACATGCATGTTAGGCTGATTGGTAACTCTAAATTGTCCCTAGGTGTGAGTGAGAGAGTGAATGGTTGTTTGTCTCTATGTGTCCCTGTGATGGACCAGAGACCTGTCCATGGTGTCCCCTGCCTCTCGCAAAGTGATGGCTGGACATGGGCACCAGAGACCGCCGTGACCTGAAAAGGAAGAAGTGGGAATGATGGATGGATGGATGGATGGATGGATGGATAAATGGTGAACTTCGATGATATCAGTTGTGACTGTGCTTTTTTCATTCAGTAATATCAACTGTAAAGGGAAAAATAAATGACACAAGCTTAAATAAGAAGGCGATGCTTTAACTCTGACATATTTAGATTTTTAACATTATTATTATTATGAACAGCTTATGTGACAACCGCCTAAAGCTCCTGACATTGTTACACCAACGCAGCCACCTCTTTGAAAATCACATTGACTGATTAATGCATAACATACAATTTGTGGAAAAAAATCTACATAAATAATACATTTCTTAATTCCATTAAAACATTTTTAAACTACCAAAATAATATATTTTTACATTACACATACTCAAAACCTTTTCAATAATTATGACACTCAAAATAACTTCTGTGATCTTAACATGACTTGTTTATCTTCTAGTTCATCAGTTGCCTGACATCCAAGTTACATTATGGAGCTGAATTATTTATATCAACATTTAGAAAATACTGAACAAAAACAGTTAAATGCTAATGATAGTGAGCCTCACAAATTGCCTTAGGTCACTCTTTGTTCTTTGACCTGTGAAGCTGTCAAACTGCATTAAATTACTCTTAAGAAGATTTAAATAATCACAAGGAGCTGTAGAAGTGACCTTTCATTCAGGGGAATCTGCTTTCCCACCACCACTCCACTGCCTCAGTGCAGCTTCTGCATAAACTCATAAATTAACATAAATCTGTGCGTTTGTTGGAGCCAAACTGCAACACTCGGTTTGTTCCTGTAATTGATTTTATGCACATATCCTGATGACAAACTGCACAATACTATAGAAGTTATGCAACGTTTGGGCTGCTCAGGTTTATTCTCATTCATTTACCTTCAGGGAGAACTAGTGTTTTCACAGCATGATGTAATTTATAGTTTGACATGAAGCTGTTTATTTTCAGCTAAAAGCCTCACAGGAAAACGTCCTCTGTGGAGAAGCAGCAGTCGCTCATGTGTTCTGGATTGTGACCCGTTGGGAGTTTGAGTTTAAATAACCACCTGGGACATTTGGCTGGATAATTCATGGGCTTGTTGGGCTGATTAATAAAGCCATCGGGCCTTTGATGGCAGGCAGAGAGCGCAGCAGACTGTACACTTTAAAAGACCGTCAGGTTTAACCTCTATACTTGCTCCCCTGGGATTTGTCTGGGTTTACGTAAAATGGTCTTGATTGAGATTTTTTCTCTTGGCTTCACGGTCAAGTGTTTTAAAACCCACGTTTTGTTGGCCGTGCGCTGATTTGACATGACTAAATCCAGATTAGCACTGGCTTGGCTTTTTAAAATCATTCCACGCTGTACAAAGAAATGTTTTTAAGATGGCTGTGTTGTAATTATTTGTAAACCTAAAGAAAATCCTAAAAGCACACGCTGTCATTTTTCAAACAATGTCAGAGACATGACGCTGGTTTTTAACATTTGCAAAAACACCAAAGTCCATGCTCAATAATCCAGGTATAAAATCCAACAATTTTCAGTCAGGTCACCTGGACGGTTTCTTTGAAGTTCACCATCTCCTATTTTATACCTTTGCGTGTGGACTTAGGTGTTTTGAAGCAGTTTGACATGATTGTCGACAAGGGAGAGGGTAGGCACTGGAGGAGGGGGCGTGCCCCAGAGACCAAACGTTTTTTTCTACTTTGGAGTAAGGTGTTGGGGGAGCAGTAGCTTTGTTTGATGTTTCCTCAAACTGATGAAGCCTTCTGGATGGAGGGTGAAACATCTCAGCACAAAAAAAAAAAAGAAACCATCCAGATGACCTGACTGAACATTGTTGGATTTACAAAAACAATTAAAGCTTGTGCACCAATAAAACTTCTACTCAGAAACAAAACAGACTTTTTGGAGTCGAAGCAAACGGTGACAACTTGTGTTTATTGTTTGAATGGCTATGTAACAAAAAGGCTCTTTAGACATGCTTTACATAATGTACAAAAAATAAGGTCCAAAACGTAATAAAAATAATATTAAAGGCAAACTTCAACAGCACAAATACAGCAGCATTGCAGCCGGAGCAATTACTGCTAAACTTTGGTTTAAAGTCAAGATGGAGGTTTCAGAGAAAAAAAAAATGCTCAGAGGCTATTCTAATATTACTAAAAAATAATTTAAAACAAATGAATAAATGTTAGCCCAACAGATCGTACTGTAGATAGTTTAGGATGATTTTTGACTGTTTTCATGTGATACAAAACAAAAAAAAGCTTGAAATTTACATTTCAGAAAAAAAGAGACAAGAACATAAAACAAACAAAACAAAAAAAAATTGAAAGTCGAGCTTAGATTTTAACCGTCTTAAAAACCAGCTAGTCTTTGTCTTTGACACAAATATGTAATTTGGGAGTGGGGAGGGAGATAAATAAATAACAGGTTTGGAATGAGCTGGAAACAAACATCCATCAAAATGTGAAAACTGGTCCAAATCAAAAAGGGAGCTGGAGGTCTACGAATGACGTTTCAGGAAATTTGGAACAATTGCTGATAATATTCTGAGGGTTAACCTTTAACCTTTCAGCATATCAGGTTTAAAATCTGTTACATGAGTAGATTACACTTTGATGCTTAACCTGACTGAAAAGATCAAATAAACTCTATCATGTGGGAGAAACTGACGTGTTAAAACTTACCTAACAATTTATTAAACTTTGGTAAAACTGTTTAAAAGCAGTGGTTCTCAAACTGAGGTCCCTGGATCCCCCGGGGAGGGTCGGCAAGCAGATGTTTGGGGGTCCTTAAAAAACATGTTAAAATACACCAAAATGCAGGAAATCACATCTACTTTATTCAAAATTTTCTGGGGGAGGAGACCCAGACCTCTCCCCCTCTGCCCACTATTTGCGTTCCAGCATGGATCGGTTTACAGATGAAGCCCTGATACTTGGTCTGTCTACTGCTGATTCTGATCAGTTTGCTGTAAAGAGTTTTATGTAATAATTTGAAGTATCAATACATTTATGTTCTATATGCGAATAGGTAAAGTTTTAAAGTGGTTTTTGATTCTGTTAATTTTCTCAAAACTGTAATTTTTGAACGTTGAAATTAAAAATGTTAACTGTGTCGTGAATGAAAAATACCCCATGTTTAAAAGTATATAAATTGTATTAACACTATTAAAGAACAGGTCTGAAGTATTTACGTTATACAAATATTTCCATTGCATTAAAGAGACAAATTGAAGACATTTATGTAATAAACATGAGGGTTATGAGGGGGTCCCTGAACCCAAAAGTTTGAGAACCCCTGGTTTAAAGAACCAGGCGTTTTGTGTAAAACAGTCTGATGTTTTAGTTTGAGTCAATGATCATTCAGGAAAAGTTGATCTGAGATGTTTTAAATGCTGTACACGTGAAGGGACACAGAAACTCCATCAAATAGCAGCACACGGGTGTATCTGAATGCATTCACTTTAAATGAAATTCACGAATATAACTTAGGGGTCAGTTTTTTTAAACACAAGATCTAAACAAGCTTTATCACATCCAAGCAAATCTTAAGTGCAATAATAATTAAAAAAAGGTTTTCAGGACAACTCACAGAAATGCCCCTTTCTTTTGTCAGATGTCCCTACAACATATTAACTAACATCTGGAAACAGTGCAGTCGTTTGATTAGCTTTTTTTAATTTCCTGGAACATAAAACCTCAAACAGCAAGAATACATACTGCTGCCTAAATCAACAAGAACTTGGAGAGAATGCTGGGAAAATGTGGGCTTTTCACAAAAAAGCTGAACCTTTCTTGAAGTTTCTGCAGCTTAAGCCTCAAATATATAAGTAGAACATTGTAATTTAATAGATAACTAACATTTCTTTTATACATACATACATATATTTATATATATAAAATACAATACATTCTTATTTTTCACAGTCCAGAGTGGAATCCTAGGCTTCATCATTGTTCATAGAGGATGATTAAATTTGAGTTAAAACTGTCTTGAAGTCTTTCTGATGTAAAACAGCATGTAAACTGCATAGCAGATTTGTCACCATTAAGTGCCTGTAACATAGAATAAAAAGGCCCAACAAATCAGTGCATAGTGAATTACAAAAATAAAAACTAATCATATGGCCATCTGTTTGAGGTTTCTGTGAATGCATAGTAAAAAGGCCATTCATTAAACAACTAACAGAAAGTAGCCAGTAAAACTGTGATTGTCTTATGTGCAAAAAATTTAATTAATTAAAATACACGTACGATTTCTTCCCAAACTATCCGTTCTCCTACAAATGTGAAAACCACAGAATTAAAAGTCACATAAACAAAACTGGGAACAGATAAAAGACAATACACGATAAATTTATGTTTATATTCGTAATATACACCACATTTTGGAATCTGCATAAGGGTTAGTCAGAACGGCTGTGGAAATATTGGAGGTAAGCCTTAAAGGGTTTTTCAAATATCATCAACTGAATACTGCTGGTCAGGAAACATTTGCCTCCTTTTTTTTAACCCCCCACCCCCACCCCCACCCCCTTTTATTTTCTTCTCCAGGTGCGTTCTAAAGTCGTGTATGTGTCTGCACCAGGAATGATGAGACACAGCTCAGTCCCACAGCACCAGGGTTTGATAAGTGAAGATGCAACCCTGTCTGTGTGTCCTCTGACACAGTTCTTTAAAGCATACATTCATTGATTGATTTCTCTTGTACCAGACCCAGAAGACCAGAGGATGTGGGGGGGGGAACGGAGTGCTCCTGAGGTGGGAATGTCAGGAAGGTCACTTTAATCACCGGTCAATTTATCCAGCCAGACGCGGCAGGTTTTCTCCGCAGTGAAGAATGTTAGCATGTCCTCTCGAGTGAAAGGGGGAATGTAAACATACAAGAGAACATCTTTGGCAGAATGTGAAAAATCTCTTTGGAGGTAGTGGGTAAAGTGAGGACCAGGGAGGAGGTGCAGCAACAAGTCTGAGGCCAAACGTGGCTAGACTTTAAAGATCCTATGTGGGAGCTGGAAGTTCCTGTGTCTTAGTCCTGTAAGAGGCACTTCTGTGGTCCTGGCTGCATTTGCTTGAGCTATAGTTAGTGTCTGCTTCACTCTGCTCCACTGCCCCATCAGCAGTGGAAGTCAAAGGAGGAGTCCTGTGTGGTGTTACTGAGAGCTGTGAGGCTTCTGATAGGGCTCTGGAGGATAGATCTTCGCTTTCTCTCCAGAAACATCTGCTAAGAGAATCTAAAACAAATTAAAAGCCAACAGTTAGACATCTACAGACCTCGTGACAAGCTTTCCTGAAAAGCTACCTGCAACCTGCACTTTTAACAATCAGTCACTGCTGATTATTATTAGATCACATGACACATAAACAGCTGTTTCTTCAATATTTACATCAATGGAAAATCTAAAGTGCAAATTTTAAGAATCAGTGACTGCAGTACTCAAACTATACACAAACACAAGCTTGGCTTCATCTACCTGTGGATCTGCAAACTTGTAACTGAAAACGTCTCACTGGGACATATTTAAAATAATCCCTCTTACCATTAACATAACGCTCTGGAGCTGGAAGGCTGCAAGTTCTTTTATCGTGCGAGGTGAGATAGACGGAGGGGTCCTGGCTGCGGATGAGGCTCTCCAGGGTTGTGTCCTCAAGCTGGGCATGCTCACTGAGGCTTGGGAGAGTCTTGTCCAGTTGATCGTCCTCTGCCAGATAAGCATACGGGCAGTACTCTCGTGTTCGAGAGTAGATGTTGGCGTTATCGTAACAGTCGGAGCAGATGACAAGAGGCCCTGCACCACCTGGAAGAAAAAACAAATTATTTTTGTAATGTAGCTAAGCTTCACTTTTCTAGACTATAGGTAATTTCAGAAAAAACTGATCAATAAGGTACACATTTACATGGTTAGTTAAAAACAACAACTGCAGAATCACAAATATTGACAATGTGGCCACAGATAACTATTACTGAATATACTGTGTATAAAAACATAAAAATGTGAATTTATGTGGAAGGGAAAAAAATAGCTTTTTAAACATTAATATGGATTAGTAAATGTTTATATCGGTTTTGGTTTTATGTCTTATAGTGTTTTAATACTTTAGGCACTTAACAGCCAAGATATCATGCTTTACAGCAGCTGTAATACGGCATTCAGCATGTGTGATGTACAGATCTGGAAAATGAAGGAAGCGCCAGTTGCAGTTTTCTCTGCCAACAGAGCACCTGGACGGTTTCAAACATTCAACACAGAGGCCGCAGATGCTGGAAAGTTCACAAGTATGGATGCAGAGTTAAACAAAACAGTACTGATAAAAAAAACAGGTTAAACAGTCCAAAATGATCCAGCCATACTCAGCTGGATCACTTTTCTTCCTTTCCTCCCACTTTCCTGCTGCTGAGCTGTGACACTGAAGTGAAAGGCTAAACTGTAGCTGAGCTGAAGAGGCAAAGATAAGGCAAAAAAAAACAAAAAACAGGCCAAGTGGAAAATTTACAGAACCAGCACAGCTTTATTTTTGCCAAGGACTAAAAAGGCACTAAAAAGGTATTTTTCTGATGACCGTGCACAAGTAATTATAACCTGATCAGCAATGTTGGCATCATCAAAACTAGCAGCTCAGTCATGTTATACTGACATTCTGACACGAATACGGTTCATGTGCAACATCATGAACAGAGATCTGGTTGACTGCTGGGAAACATGCATCTGTGAAACAGGTTGTCAAAAAAATGTAAGTTTTGAATTGAGAGTTGTTATGGACCGATCATTAGTTTTAAATGACTTGAATCAGTATCCAGAATAAAAAACATCCTGATTGAGACGTTCCAGTATAAATAAATATTATTACTATAATCCTATAAGGTCAAAAATTGTTTTTTAAGAGCCATAAGTCTAATGGTTTAAAAACTGTGGACAAAAAAAAAAAAAAAGACTAATAAAAGAATAACCAACCAGACGAAACTCCTAATAAGCCGTCACGAGACTCCCCAGGATGGAAGCTGCTTCGGCCAGAGAACAGGGAGACCATCTTGCAGTGCAGCATGTCGTTCGCTTCGATTTCCACCTCACTGCCCATGTCTCCATAACACACTCCTGGGACAAACATGATAATAAACTACTATTTAACTGCACAGGGATATGATCTTGAACACAAAAACAGAAACAAGAGGCTCCAGGATGTAGGAGAATTTGCAATGTTTGAACACCGAATGACACCTATGTTTTCTTTAAAAACATTTAAAATGTATATTGTCTTTGTTCGTGTTGTCAACAGTCATATGAAGTGCAGGAAATACAACCATGTGTGTTTGATGTCTTGTAGTCACGTATTCTTTGTGATGTCAATATCAGAAAGTTTGTTTTGTGATAACACTGACAACCAAACTCCAGAAAGGATATGAAATTATGGCAGTGTTTGATTTTGTTTTTATTTTTAATGAGCAGGTGTACATCAGTATTTAGAAGACTTTGTGTATGACAGAAATTGCTATAGCCTGAAGGGGACAATATTTTCTGCAGACGTGCACAGTCACTGAAATGTAGCACTTTAATGTGCACTATCTATTCAATAATTAAGTTCGCTAATATAAAGGTCTGAATTTTAAAGCCTGAAAACAAATGGGGTAAACCCTTTCACATTTTAATATTTGATATAGCTCAGGATAACTTTTTTATGTTTGACTTGAGTACTTTTATGTAAACAGGAAGGGCAAAAATATTCCATGGGGATGACAAGCCAATGTTTATGATGCAGATATCACAAAACAATTATTAATGATGCTTTCAAAGCCACCCTCCAAAACAAAAACAACTTCAATTATCTATGATGCTGACAAAAAAAAAAGGATATTGTTAAAAAGCAAAACTGATATGAATTTGTAAAAGCTTAAAGATTACATACCATCCGTGCCTTTATGAATGTATCCATTGGAGAGTGGAGGCATGAGCTGCTGGTGGCTGCCAGCCTCCGAGTTACTGTAACCTTCCTGAGGCTCTGACAAAGTTCCCTGAGAGGACAGGTAGCTGGGAATATCTGTTGGCAAATTCATTTCATCTGGAACAAAAACACATTGGTAAGTTTTTAGCCCCACTAAGTAAAGCATCAAATTCAGACACAAGTTAAGTCATGCTTCATGGTTAAAGTTTGAAAAGTTGAAAGAGGATTTCTTTCATGAAAGCTTCGTCTGAGCTGTTTACCAGTGTTGGTGATGCTGTAGTCGTCACTCTTCCTGCGCATGTGGTAGATGACAATAACCCACACCAGTGACGTCCCGACCACACAGCACACCACAACAATCACCACGATGCCCACAGTCGTCCAGCCGTCATGGTCGTACATGGCTCCGGTCTCACAGTTGGGTGATGGTGAGACACTGAGGTAGATGTGGCCACGTTCTGTACCGAGCGTGTTAGACAGAATGCAGGTGTATTTACCAGCATCGGTTGGCCCGGCATCAACGATAATAAGGAGCTGATTGGCCGCAGCAAAAAAGTGGCGCTCTGTTAGCACCAGGGGTCCGTCATCTTTGGTCCAATTGAGACGTGGAGCGGGGCTGCCTCCAGCTATACACTGAAGGACTGCAGTTTCACCATGAGCCACTGTTCTGTCTTCCAGAGGCCGCATGAAGGATGGAGTTTCTGAAAAAGAACATAATTATTGATAATACTTTATTTACCCTTAAATAACCAAATCCCACTGAGATAATAAATCTCTTTGTAAAGGAGTCCTGGGCCTGAAGGCAGCCCAACACGGTAATTAAGAAATTAAGGTTTATCCGGTGGAACCAGACGTGTCTCCCCCCCCCCCCCCACACACACACACACCCTCCACCCGTTTCCCTGCTGCGCTCTTTTGTCCTGTGAACCCTTAAAGAGCCTCTTTTTTTCCCTGCATACCTCTTAATTCGAAGGATCAGCTGGTCTCTCAACAAAATCGATCAACTTCTCCCGACAGGAGTCAGGGTAAGGAGGACCCTCTTACCTCGACGGAAACAATTGGATTCATGGTGACAACTGGTTTTTGCTGTTTGGGTTGGTGAAATCTGGATTGTCTACAAATTCGTGTGGCTGTGTTGAAGCTCGACAGTGATCAGACTGAATGTGGGAAGCTGCGAAAGGGAGTTGGAGCAGCTATTATCAGGACTGTGATCTTCCTGGCAGCACTCATGAATGGTGGGAATAATCTGGAGAAGCTGTGAGCTCGACTTTTGGAGTAAAGGATCAATTCGGCTGTTTTGGAGTTCCATCAGAAGATATATGCCAGCAAGACTTTAAAGGCATAAAACAACAATTCACGAGTTCTGCCAGACCCAAATTGTGGCCTTAACGCCGGACTTATCGCAACACCTCCTGGAATGTTTTGAAAACAACAAAGATGCTTTGACTGTTTTCTCACCCCTCCCTTCCCCAAGGCTGTGGACATGTAACAGAACCTCAACTGAGCTGAAGATGAACGTCACCTCTTATCTGGACAATGGCTGAGGGGGGGGGGGCTCTGGACTATGCTATGACTTTCCCTTAAAAATTAAATGTTTTCACCGGCCTATATGTTCATGTATAACGTCTGTTTATGTTGCTTTGCTGTGGTAGGTTTTTTTGATGCCTCAAATCATGCCACGTCTAGGACACGGCGTGAGAGATCTTTTTTTAATACCGTCTCTCCTCATGTTTTCTTTCCTTTTCTCATCAAAGCAAAATATTATTCTGAATAAGAATAAGAGGGCCACACTAATTATTTATAGCCGCAGCTTTGTGCACTCCGCCCATCTTCGGACGACTGTACGTACATATTCGCATTGTATCTCGGTGCAATGCCAATAAAGTTTATTCTGATCTCAGAGGCATCTAATGCTAAATCAGACTGAATGTGAGGTGAAGTTGTTATTAAAATAATATTTGAGATATGTCCAAAAACTACATATTTTAAATGACATCTCCTGAGTGACATCAATAACTTGAACAATTGTGTCAGAAACGCTGAAGCCAGTAGAACTTAAATATTCTACATGATCAATGTATATTAAACAATGTTTTTTACAATGTAATCTGTTAAAAATGGCAGGGAGGCAACACAAAGTGAACAACAACCTAAATGATCGTCCAGTCTGAGCACCACATCCCAATAGGACAAAAAATAAAATAAAACTGGAATATCCTCTGTAAATTAGAGGTGACTCACCCAGAACAGTGAGAGTAGCATTTGCTGACAGACTGCCAGCTGTATTTTGAGCTGTGCAGCTGTACACTCCCATGTCTTCAGTTTTTACATTGGCAATGAAGAAGATGTCATCGTCCGGCATCACGTGCATCCTGCGCTCTCGCGCAGCTGGAAAGTCAGTGCCTCCATCCTTCTGCCAAGCAATCTGTGGTGACGGATGGCCCTCAGCAGCACACTCCAGCCTGGCCATGGTCCCAGTGCGAATGGTTAGATCCATAGGAGTTTTAAGAAAAGAGGGCATCTCTAAAAGAAAGGAGGACAAACCAGTGTTAGACTTTGTTGCCAAAACTTTTGATTTACATCTCGCTTTTTTTTGTACTAGTTGTTACTGGCGGCTGTGGCTGAGCGGTTAGAGCAGTCGTCCTCCAATGCGAGAGTTGGGGGTTTGAATCCACCAACAGTCACATGCCGAAGTGTCCCTGGGAAAGACACTGAACCCCTCATAGCCTCTGATGTGTGTTCCATCGGTGTATGAATGTGATCTAAAGCACTGATTAGTCTCATTAGAATGATTTGTTCAATTAGCTTTGTAGAGATCTAGTGCTGTGTGGATGGGTAAATGAGGCACAGATTGTAGTGTAAAGCGCTTTCAATATCTTGAAATAAGATAGAAAGGCGCTATATAAGTACAGTCCATTTACCATTTATCATTCTTACTGGGCAACAACACAATATAACAATTTACATATAAAAAGTGTGTTGTACCATAACTTTACATACTTCACTGGTCAGCCCAGCAGAGCATTGGATGAGAATGACTGACTCTCCTACTACCAAACTATATTTTGGTTCAATATCTGTAAAACCAAATGCTTCTCAGCAATTTCTTTTTTTTGTGCGTGTGTGTTTGCTAAGGTCACTTAGATCAGCTGTGTCAGTCACCAAAATCAGGTCAACTCCCAAAGTTATTTAATCACAGATATACATCCAATTATTATTTTCTGAGAGTTTTATTAACATTTACTAACAAACATATGAAAATTATATTGCTGCCAATGTTTCGTGATTGCAGTAAATAAAAAGAAAAAGCATCCTCACCATTGACTGTAAGCCTGGCCTTACTGGAGTAGTTGGAACCAAAGTGATTGGAGACAACACACTGATAACACCCCTCATCAGTGAAGTTGACATTAAGGAGGTGAAGCACAGTGGTATAGATGAGATCTCCTTCTTGATACCGAGCATAGTTTTCCACTTCTGCATCATAAAGCACCTCCCCATCCTTTCGCCATGCAGTGGTCATTTGGGAGTTGCTGCTGCTGGATGCAATGCAGCTCAGAGTCACATTGTTGCCCCGTAAAGCCACAGATGTTTCTGGATGAGCAGTAATCTGAGGCTTGGGGAAACCATCTGAGCAAGAGTAAAAGGGACAAAACGAGAATGAGCTTTTTCACCGTTACACAGTATCTAGAGATCTCCTAAAAATGCTCATCAAAGTGCTATGCTTTTCAGTAAACATTAACAAAGTTTAAGTATTTTCAACTGAAGCACACAACTGCTAACAGAGTGATAAAGAGATATATATATATATTCATTTAAAGGTTCATAACTGACCACAAACAAACTCCTCTGGGCTGATGGACAGGACACTGCGACCGAGGAGATTAGAAGGATGGGCACAGAAAGCTGAGACAGATTGATGAAACTGGCTTTCTGTTAACCAAGGACCCAGCCACTGCATGTGACAGTCACACAGCAGGCTGCTTGTGTTCAGGACACTGAAAACAGAGACATATTAAAGGATGTGTAACAGATGTAAGAGCAATATCAAAATGATCCATTAAATATATATATATATATATATATATTTATATATATATATATATGTACACACACACACACATACAGGTCCTTCTCAAAAAATTAGCATATTGTGATAAAGGTCATTATTTTCCATAATGTAATGATAAAAATGAAACTTTCATATATTTCAGATTCTTTGCACACCAACTGAAATATTTCAGGTCTTTAATTGTTTTAATACTG